TATAATAATGACCCGGTTGATAACGATTAGTGTTATTTAATTAAGTCCCATATGAAAAAAAGTGTTATTTAATTAAGGAGAGACAAAATCAAACTAATGATTGTGTTTGAATATGGTGGCGTCTGTGGCAGGCAATTTGGTATCCCATTCCCATCCAAATTCCTAAGCACCTGCCTAACTCTATATTTTTTCGGTAAATCACCTCCCTAATCTTTTATATAATGACATTTCTATTTCCGTCCAAAAAAAAGAGAAAACCTTTTATATAATGACAAAAGCAATCTTGATGTAGGTATACTAGTATTTCTTTCTTTCTTTATGCTGTCACCCGCTTCACGAGGGGTAATTGCTCTGGGGTGTGAATCTGGCAGCACAAAATTTTTAATAATGTCCTATTTTCAAAAAATTTTGTTAATGTTGTATAAAACATTTAAGAAATCTCGTCTAATACGTGAGCTTTTGGGCAGAGAGTCAGTAGTAGATTCTACACCTTTGACCATCTTGTTGACAGCAGAAGTAAATGCTACAATTAGTCTTTACCCCAGCTACTCTTATATCCACGTTATCAATTTTCCTCCTCCATCACGACAAAAGTCGATGGAAATACATCGAGAGAGTGGAGGCATAGGGTCCTAAAAATGAAAAAAAAAAAAAAAAAAAAAAAATCTTACTTTTATTCATGCTCTTTTGTTGCTAATTAGGGAGATATTTAGAGGTAAAGCAAGAGCAAGAGAGCATATCAGATCAAGGGAAAGGGAAACAAGTGTTTTTTTTTTTTTTTTTTTTTGGATTTTTATTTTTATAAAAACCAAATTAGAAATCATGAATTAAAAAAAAGTAACAATTAAATATTAAAAAAGTGATATGTACAAAATAAAAACTTTATAATCATTAATAAAAGATAAATTTTTAATATTGAGATAATTTTTTTATCAATAATTATAAAATATTTAATTTACATATAATGAACTATAAAAAAAAATTATCTCAATAAATATTCTATTGTAAAAATTATTATTATTACGACAACAAATGCACAACAAATTATTTTACCAGTCTTGTGTTTTTATTCACAACCACTCATTTTCCACTATATAATTTTTCTAGGAGAAAGTTTTGCACACCTAACATAGTAATATTTCAGTGCTAAATTCTAATTGCAAAATGGTTCTGCCCTGCACTGGATATGGATGTGGATGGTCTCCGAACAAAACAGTGATTGTGATGGAGTAACTACACTTTTGCCACGCTGCCATGATAGAGACCCCTGTCCTTTTTTTTGAGAGGAGAGACCCCTGTTCTTTTAATTGGTCTAGTGGTTAACAGAATCAATAATTTTGTTTGATTGCAAACAGTACTTGCGACAATACTATTAAATGCTTCCTTATTTTATTCAACCATTCAAAGCTCGATCGAAGTCTGTTTCACGTATCGAAAACGATTATCGTTTTAATTAATAAAACAACTATTACCACTAATGTTATGAGAAGGGGGAGGATCAACATAAAAAAAGGGAGAGGATTAATTGTCCAAACCCAGTAGTCTTTAATTTCCATATTATCTTAATATTTAAATTAGAAATGTTATGTCAACAATTTAAATAACTAATTATTCATCTTTTTTTTTTGTTAAAAAATAAAAAATTTTAAATTCAAATCACATAATATGCAGGTGAAATAGAATCAGAAATGAAAGTTAATTGTTTTTTATTATGCAACAAAAAAAAAAATCAAAAATGCTACAAGCATTAACGTTTCTTATAGAATATTATACACAATGTAATATGAATAAATGCAAATAAAGTTACATATAGATAAAAAGATGAAAATGTGTTTTAACTATCAGACTGTATATTAAAAATATAATT